CATACATATAATCCTGGTACTAAAGTCAAACATCTTATATCGTTTAAGTAAGTGGGCGTGGCTTAATGGCTCAGTGGCGCCCCCTTCAAATTTTCAAAATGGCCTCCCCATAGAGGGTTTTTTGACGCACATTCATGAACATTGCTACACGTATTAAGCTTGTCAGGACGGACATAAAATCCTCTTCCAGCGTTTCAAAAAACCCAACAGGAAGTCTACAAATTAAAGTTGAATTTCACAATAATCGCCTGCTTCTCAATTAGCACTAGCCATTGCTACACGGTAGCTCATTTCCCCCTAAAAATTGGTGTGGACCATGCTAACACCTTGGCCATACAAGACTTTCAGCTCAAACGCCTACGTCCAACGCTGTCGCCATATGGACGCGCTGTCGCCATCGAACAGGAAGTAGTTTTTTCACGGGCTTAACATAATCGTTCAGTCCCGAAACTTCATACATATGATCCTGGTGGTAAAGTCAAACATTTGATACTGTTTAAATGAGTGGGCGTGGCTTAACGGCTCAGTGGTGCCCCCTACAATATTTCAAACATTCAGCCCCCGCAGCACGCTGAACCTACTGTTCTGAATTTTACTATGCATATCCATCTTGACAACACCTACAATAAACCCTCCTGCACCCATGCTCAAAATCCAACAGCACACCTTGGCCAACACCTTGGCCATACAACACTTTCAAGCTCTAACACCTACGTCCAACGCTCTCGCCATACGGATGCATCATTCGCCGTCAAACAGGAAGTGGTTGTAACTCTCATATACTTTGTCTAAGCTCCTGTCAGTATAGCTCTTGGGGTCATTGAGGCACGCAAGCCCCCGGACCACAACAAGGTGGCAATCCTTCCGGGAGCATTTAAAACATTGTTTCACATGAAATATTCTACAATTCACTTAGCAGACGCTTTTATCCAAAGCGACGTACATCAGAGAGTAAGTACAACACAAGCAAGGATCTAGAAAAAAGGGAACAATGTCAGTAAGAGCAAACGATCAGCTTTGAGTCCGATTGGACACACAGGTGCTGACAGGCATTGCACATAGGCAAAGCACAACCTTGAGAGCTCTAATCAGTATAGAAACCATCTTATAAGTCATCGTTATCAAACAAAAACAATCGTGACAACCATCATCATCATCAATGATATCAAGACCATCAGTTAGTAGGTATTCATGAAAGAGCTGGGTCTTTAGCTTTTTCTTAAAGGTGCAGAGGGACTTTGTTAGTCATCAGTTGCTCCACAGCCTTGCTTGCACTCCTCTTTCTCAACCAGGAACTGTCAGTCAAACAGAGCTGGATCCTGGTTTATATGAGGGTGTACCAAGTGGAAGGTGCCAAATTTGGTAGAGTTAGGTGTTTCAATTGTTGAGATTAAATGTGTTTTTTAAATGGCTGTTGAAGTATTTACTTAATTGAAATGTCTTTTGATATGCTTATAGCCTTATCGCAGGTATTTTGTGTTGTTTGCAGAACACGTAATACTCTCCTGAGAGTTAATTGATTTCTAACCTCTTTAGGTGCCAACTCCTTTATAAGAGGAGGCTTGAGAGCCATACAGGTTTTGAGTGGCACAGTGTTGGAGAGTTCTTTGACAATACTCCAAGAGTGTAAAGAGCTGCAAAGGCCCAGACTGGCATTGTGTAGAGCTCCGTCTCTTCTATTGTTTGTCACTTTTTGCAATTTGTTACTTTCCTTCCTTCCTATTTTTCAATTTTTCTCAGGGTCTGCACCTTCTATAAATATATTCACTCATTTTTGGGCCTAAAGCCACTTGGCTATCTTTACACTTTTCTCCAGTGTTTCTTGTCTTACTCCTGCCTATGTGTTAACCACCAGTTTTGATTGCCCTTATTGTCTTGACCTGTGTCGTTTGTCTCACCAGCGTTTGATTGCCTCTTGTATTTAGTCTCTGTGATTCTTCCCTTCTGTGTTAATTCATTGTCAGGTTATCCCCGATGTCAGACGTTTTCCTACCTGAGTTTTTGTCTCAAGTTTACTTCCTCATGTCTCCTTGTCTAGTTTGGAATATTTATTTGGACTCTGTTTGAATCTAAGTAAGATTTTGTTTGCCCTCTTTGTTTAAAGGTCCCATATTATGCTTTTTCTGGTTTTATATGCTCTTTAGTGTGTTTTCCAAGTGTCCTGTGCATGTTTAGGCACATCTGTGTGCAAAAATTCAAAGTCTGCGGAAACGCGGCTTCTCCTACTTCCTCCTGTTAGCTGTAGCATTAGCTGCATGTAACGCTCGGTTCTAGCCCCCTTCGATAAAAATTTGTCAGTGCGGCGTCATTGTCAGTGTGAGATCACTGATCTAAGCCCATTGGCTCGTTGTGGCAAGCCCTGCAGCTCATGTTGAAATTTCCGAGACGCGTGCTGAGCAACTGACCAAATAACGACAGAGCAGATCGGCAGACCAATCAGAGCAGACTTGGCCCACGTGGGGTCTAACAGTGTGGGCTCAACAGAGCGTAGCTGACGGACTCAGAGCGTAGAGGGAGCAAGGAGGAGCAGTACATGAAAACAGACACTTTTTTTTCGGACTTTAGCTATTGTGAACATACAAAAGTAGGTACATAGATTAAATATACGAACCCCAAAAAGGGCATAATATGGGCTCTTTAAATATATTCTTTTTGAGATTTGCAATTGGGTGCAGTTCAGTGTTTTTCCAGAGTGTGACAAGACTACCTGCCAAGAAAAAAAGAGCAGACAGACACATAACATCTGGCTGGAGAACATAATGTATCATTTAGCAACTAAAGACTGATACATTTCCCTTGGGAGTCGGAAGTGACCAAAAACAGAGCCAAATAAAAAAAAACACAGCATTTTGAACTGTCATTTCCAAATCGAGAGAAATATGTTCTCAGATGAATGATGTTGTTACTTCATGGATGATGGATGTATGAAAAAAGCAAATTTTTGCCAGCAAGTTTGCCATACCAAAATTTAGGGTTTTTGAAAATACATTTATTATTTATGATAGAAAAGGTGCTGTTCTAAGACACATTTGAAATATTGCAAACCTGTCCTTTAGGGTTTGTTGACCGTGCACACATCCCACTGTGTCAGGGTTCATGTCGGACAATATGTACTATATGATGTACTCTCTGCCCTGTAGCCTTTTTTACATTACCTCATTCTATATTTAGTCTAGTAAAGCAGAAATGATCAGATAAGTCAGTTGACCCGGATCAGGGTTTTGTCACATTTGTGGTCAAAGAACTGTGAAGAACATGATGTGGTAACTACCCCTTTTAGAGTAGGCCATGCTCACTTTCACAGTTATTTAGGGACTTAATGACAGTACTCTATTTGTGAACTCTTTGCAGATATGAAGGGAAGGAAGCATGACATGAAGTGAAAATAACTGATGACATGTTGATGTTTAACAGAACGGTTGGTGTTGAGCTTTTGAGCAGGAAAGCAGTTTCAAACTCTTTAGATATTTTGATAAGCTGTTCTCTGAATTGAGCTTTTAACCTTCTTCCTCTTGAAAACACGTAGACTACTTCAGGCTATTCTACCACCTTTTACTTTGCTCCATTTCTCTGTGTCAACTACATCCTAAAATCCTTCCCCTCAGAATCATAACCGTGACCTAATGCCCTGCAGTAAGTCTGATGGAGAAAATCTTTTGAAGTGACGAAAGAACCGGAAATGTTTAGTGTATTTACTAAAGAATTTACAGCAATGGATATCCATTACACTTGGGCTTAAAAATAAGCCCAAGTGAGCTTGTTGCTGAGTGCCTGGCCTTGTTGTGTATGGAGATTAGTGGGCTCTGTGTTTAGGTGAAACACCTAATGACTAGGCGTGAGGTAAACTGTCACAGTCAAAGTAGTGTTACGTCCCATAGCCTAGCGGCGCTTGTCCTTAGGTGACTTTACATGATGACCAGACTGATTGAAAATTTGAATACAATAGGCCTTTTACACAGCAGACATTTTGACTTGTACAGAAAGAAAATCTATGGAGGCCCATTACTGCCAGAAAAAAAGAATAAAAGAAGATTCAATTCAGCCTTTATAAAAATATAGTGTATCATGAAAAGCTGGAATAATTACGTAAAAGTCATAATTATAACACTCATAAGTAAAAAAATAAAAATAAAAAAAAATGTAAATGTGATGAAGTTTAAATTGTCATATTTAAAAAAAAGATTTTCATTTTGGGTTTATATACCTTTAATGGGATGGAGGAAAGAATCGACAGGTAGGATTCCGACCAAGGCTTCCAAATTGTGGCACTTTACCCGTCATACATGGGGCGCTACCTAACCTCTAGGTAGGCCATCAGCGCCCTGTCTAAGTATATTAATGTTTGCATATTTTCTATTATCTTGGTTTTTCTAATTTTTTTTAATATCAGAATTATAACTTTCTATCCATATCCTTTTTTATTGTCACAATAATGTATTTTTTAAAAAAAGTCTTTTTTCCTTTTTTTCCATCCCATAAGTTTTAATTTTAATTCCATTGTAATGCCTTGATATGTGTAGGCTGATTTTTGTATTATCAAAGCTAAGTTTTTATCAATTTTATTCTTTTACTGGCAGAAATAGGCTTCCGTAGATCTTTACTGTTTTCAAGTAGGCAACCCATGTAAGCCATAAAAAACATGTCAACATGCATTAGCTGATATAAAAAGTATTTTTTTAAATAGGCAACAGATTTAAACCTGTTTCTACTTTGGAATTTGGCAAAAAAAAAAAAGAAAAAAAGCCTGACCCTTTAGCCTGACAGTAATTCATGCAGCCTCCCAGTAAAGTCACCCAGAGTGTGTGAAAAGGTCACATGCTGTACTAAAAGTGCAATAAAGTTTTGATCACCCTCGAAATGATTCAACTGCTTGTCCTTGAAGCTGTAACGGTTGCAGGTCGGGGGCTCGTCCCACGCTCGTCTCACGAGGGTAACGACCAATCAGCTTCGTCCCCTGCGAGGAAGGCGGAGGAGACATTACAGCCCGCTACAGATATACTCCGTGGCAGTTCTCTTTCTGTTCAATGTGTGGGACTTGTTGTTGTCACCCCGAGCTGACTCGGGTGTTCCTCGTGGCTGTCAAACTGAAACCGCTTTAACATTAACCCAAAGTAAACAGACATAGGCTACTATCAACTTTTTTTTTTTGTAACTCTGAAACTGGACAAACCGAACAACTCCCACCGTTACTTATAGTTGCTCGAAACTTGCAACAAAATAAAGGGAAAGTAGCGTGAGTTTGAGCTCTTGAATCTCACACTGTGCATCTAACGGGACGTCTGGTGTAGGAGCGGAGCACGAAGAGGTGTAGTCTCCATTCATCCTTTGCTGGGTTGCTGCCACCTGCAAACATGACGCGAAGGTCCTGCGCGATTTATGCGGTGGGGCTCATCTGCGCTTCCCTGCTGGTCGTTGGGCTTGGCTTAATCGTGGGTCAAGTTTTCCGTACCTTCATGCAAGAACGCCTGAAAAAGGTAAAACATTTTTAATTGTTTTAAATGTACAAAGCACGCGCGTGTATGACTGCTTCACTCATGATTTATTTCCTTGAATGCATCGTTGTTAACAGGCAGATTCTGCCTGCAGATTCTGCAGGTTCTGCCTGTTAATAATGACGGGGGGGGGATCATGTGCTGAATTGCGCAGTCTACTTTTGTGTTTGCAAACTGTGGTCACTGGTCGCCACATCGAAAGTTCATCACTTTGTTTGACAGTTTAACTTCCTTGTATTCAGAGCAGGACATTACCAGTCATAAATTACAAATGGCATGCTTTTAAGATTAAATCTAGCTCATTGTAAAAAGGTGTTTTGCATGACTCAGGTATAAAAAAATAAATAAAAAAAGCAACACTTTCTGGGGCGGGAAATGAAGCAGCAGAACAAACTTCCCTGCTGTTGTTTGCTGTTGCTTATTGGTTATCATGCATGAATGTGATGCCTCCTTGATTGCTTTTGTCATAACAGTCCAGTGACTGCTGTTAGGGCTTGTGATGTGTTTGGGATAGACAGTGATGACAGGGCTGTGTGTTGCCTCCCAGAAGGAGAGGCTCTAATAAGCAGTTCAAACTCCCTGAGAAGGTGGAGGTGGTGTTATTAAGGGTTCAGGACAGCCTTTTTTTTTTTGCAATCAGTACTTTCTCTTCTTCCACAGTTAGATTAGTCAGCCACTTTAAGCTTGAGACACAAGTTATTTTCCATTATCCTGCATTGTCTCTTAAGTCTTTATCTGATGCTGGATCCGAGGAATTCCCAATTGTCTGCTGGTGTGCCTTCACTTTTTGTCTTTAGGAAAGGATGTGGTTAAGGCAAATTCCACAGCCCAGAATATGTAGGCTAAGGGGCTGGGTTGGTTTTGCTTCTTCTTAGTATTGATCAGTATTTTTAACTCATGAAAAAGCTGCTGCTCTGAGAAAATGGAGTTAAATGGGAGGTTTTGTTCCACACAAATGTAATAATGTCAATTAGTAAAGACTTCAGTTTGAGTTTAGTCCAGCTGGTCACACATTAGACACTAAAGCCTGGCTTGATTCACAAAGCCTCATTCTTAACATTCATGGATTAGAACTGAGCTTAAAAATGAAAAGGACAGTATGAGCTGACCTCTTAAGGACAGTCTGCTTTATGAATGTGAGATAAAGAACGTGTTGTTAGTGGCTTTAATGCATCTGATGGGAGGAAAATCAAGCGTGGGAGGTATAGTCCCACAGGGGCTTATTACATTCTAGTCATGAAGAGTCTACAGTGTAGTGTTAAAAGAAAAAGTCAGGATGACATCTGTAGAATATTTGTTTTGTCCAACCACAAGTTTAAAAATGCTGTATATGGAAAAGTAGATATCCCAAATTTGCACACCACATCTTTACACTTCTTATGTCCTACTTTGAGGGAAGCTCAAAGGACTGCAACCTTAACAAAACATTATGCAAATAGACAAAGTGTGCACATTTGAAGACTAAGTGTACAGAAACATTCTCCAAATACAGAAATGCTAATCATCTGATGAGAACAATAGAAGTGACCAGAAGACACCTAACTCTGAAAAAACGCCCCAACATGAGAGTTGAAAAAAGTTTGCAACTAAGTTAAGCATATTCACACTTTGGAAACTTCGCTGCCTTTTACACTCAGAGTAGGACGCTCAAGCTGTTGTGCAACTGCAAGGATAGAGAACAGTGGAAATTGGGATGCAAATCTGGCAACACTTCAAGCTAAAACAAATAATTTGATAACCCATCAGCTATAGTTTTAAACAAGAGCTATTGTTAGCATTGAACCAACATAACCATTAGCTGGGAAGTGTGAGAATGCTTAAATCATCATACAATAGTGTGTGGTTGTCGCAGTGAAACAATTCCCCCTGCGGAGATTCTTCTAAGCTAATGAAATGTTAACTAGGAAGTGGTTAAATACTAATACACTATTTACTGATGCCTGACACTTGTGTATGCGTTATAAAACATGTTCCGTCAGCTCGAATATTACCCAATGTCCCTCTTGTTTATTTTTACTTTCCATTGTCTCTCAATTTGTCTGGTACCCAACATTTATACAACTTCAACCCTGGAACTATGACTCGGAAATCTTAACATGAGAAGAAACTGGAAATGTTTTGAACATGGTCAATATGAAAAAAATAGCTTGGAGAGTAACGCGAGGCTACAGTTAGCATTAGCTAAGCGCACTGCTCAGGTTTTTGCTCGGTCTTACTAGAATGGCAGCATCTTTAGTAAACAATGAATGTTTTTCCTTCTCTTTCTTCATGCTTCTGTTGAGAATGTACATGTTTATTTAAAACTTAGTTAATGTGTTATCAGAGATGAGAAGATGTTTTTTTTTTATTATTTTCCTGTGATTTTCTGAACCTCTAGTCTGATGGGATGATGTCTGAGCAACAGCAGTGACTGATGATGGGAGGTGCAGATTGTAAACAGATGCATAGATACTTCATGGACAAGAAGAATGTAGAGACAGAAAAGTGAAGTTTTCTCTGAAGGCTGTGTTCAACTTGGCAGATGCATCAAATTGTGTCCACGGGGAGGAAGGGCGGTGAATGTGGCTTGATCACTTATGTTCAAATCTGATGTGAGATGGATATATAAAACGCACGTAAACATAAATATTTACACACACACCGCTCTCTCATTTAAGTCTTCATGTTTAACTCTGTAGTTCTATAGATCTCTTTGATTTTTAATCTTCAATCCAAGATGTCAATGGGTCATGATTCCAAACAGTCTCATTAAAGAGCATTAAACACAAACATCTGTAGATATTTACATTTGGTTCATTTGCACAACTGAAAGCATTTGCACAGCATCAGTAAACATGCTTTAGACCCGAAGTGAATTTTTCTTGTTGTTAATTTACCCTTTGACCGTGTAGGTTAAGGTCCAGAGTCTTTCTGTATTTCCAATACTGACGACTGCGCCAGACAGTGAGGTTTAAAGCTTTCCCAGGAGTTTCACTTTACTTTGATAACAAAGCGGGCGTGAAAGTACACTTGGCCCCCATTCAGTGTTATCACATGGCCCACCTTCATCCTTATTTTCATCTCAAACCTGCTTAATGTTGACTCTAATTGTCAGCAGGTACATTCACAGGGTTTTTCTAGTTGGAGGAGTTGGTGCTGATACTGCTACTTAACACTAGAAAGACCAAGGCAGTCAGTTTGACTGTTTTTTAATTTTGCAATGTAATAACTTACTTAAAATAAAACCTATGTAACTACAGGACCATGACTTTTCCTAAATGTGTCTATATTTTATTCTAGCATTGTTATTTTATCAAAAACACAAAACACAAAAGAATTTTTAGTATTTCTACCTTGAAAAGTCCATAGCGGTCATATTGACTGCATGCATTATAGCCAGTGTATCGTTTCGGTATTCCCTACTTTTTCCCACTCTTGAAGGTAGAGGTGGGTGATATGGGCAAAATATCATATCACGATTTATTTTTGGCAAAATCACTGTCACGATTTTATCACGATTTTTTTCATACTGATCTTTAGACAAATTTGTAAGTTACTGACCAGTTCAACCAAACTTATTTCCCTGTATAATGTTTTTAAATGCACAAAAACTGCGCTGACAAGTTTAATCTATTTGAAAAACACCTTTGTAGGAGGTCTGGAGGTCTCTCACCCAGAACATCTTTAGCACCAGAAATGTCTTTCCCTCAATTTGATCAATATTTATGCACAATTTGAAGGTTTTCCTCACCACTTTGAAATTATGATTTAGTTATGTGTCCTCTTTTTATGTTCATCAGGAACATTTTCACGCAGTGATGCATTCATTTAAAAACATGTAGACTTTGAGTTCTTGTGTTTCTGTTCTATTTTAGCCCTGCAGAGTTCCTCCAGCTGTAGCTTCAGGCTCTGCAGCCTTTGTTGTTTTTTATGACATCATTGGACTAACTTTAGTTTTGTTTATATATAATCAAACATAATACAGGATGTGTTCATTCTGTGACACATGATCAAAGTAAGTTTTACTGATAGAAGAGTTTAATTCATAGAGGGGGCGGGACATTGTTGATTGACAGACAGACAGTCACCATGGTTACTCACTCTCACCTGCCTGCTGCTTTGTAACATCGTTTAGTGTAATCCCTATAGTTTCCGTTATCACAACAGGTGAGCTTCGGGTGGAGAGGCTTGATAAGTAACTTTTAAAAACTGAGAGAGAGCAGAAAACACCGACAGCAACATTTTAAACACCGGGGTTATATCTCCACTGACTGTCTGAGCTCCTTCATGTCTGTCTCTGACTGTTAACGTCTCTCCGTGTCGCTATCTGAGCTGTAGGTTAATCTTAACTGTGCACACTATGCAGATAAGTTAACTGTTGCTCACAGCGTGTCGGTTTGGAAAAATATCAGAACAGTTGCATATAACCGAGATGGAGTTGTTTTTGCGGACTTTACTTTTAAGTTTCGTTTTCACCGCGGCGGAGCAGAAGGGGAGGGGGAGACGCGTCTGTGTCGGAGCATAAACTGCAGCATGATAGAATAAACACATTAGCCCGGTTCTACCATCTCTCTGCTTTGGCAGATCGTCAGCAAGTTAAAATCCTTCACGATCTAAGATCGTTATATCGCCCACCCCTACTTGAAGGTGCGCCTCGCTGTTGCCTAGCAACTATTGTTTATAACGCTCGAGCCAAGGAGGAAAGAAAGCTTACCCGCCTAAAACCATATAGAAAGAATAGGAGACATACATTTGAATTAATCAACATTGAAAAGGCAGAATAGAGTAAATTAAGATCTGATTTAGAACAGAATAGAACGAAATGTCAGGAAGGAGGAGGATTGCTGCCACAGAGGCTTTAGCCATGCTCCAGAGCCTTGATGAGGCACAGTCTGATGGTGGCGCAGGTTCGGATACGGAAGGTGATGTCTCCTGGTCTCTCGAAACTTCATCTGACACTGGCTCTGAGATTGAACCTGAGAATGATACAGAGATCATTCCCATTCGCAAAAAACGCCGGCTGCTGTTTCCTAGTTGTCGATAAACTATTCAAATTTCAAATTCATTAGAATTTTATGTTTGTGTCCTGAAGTTTATTATACCTTTCACAACATTACAGATCCATTTATTCTTATATTTGATATTGATTATTGAAATGATATGCAAAAAATTAGTAAACAGTCAAACTGACCGCTATGGCCTTTCTAGTAGTGATAGAATGCCGGTCGTTCTAGTGTCATGACATTTTCTTGAGGAGTTAAACGTTGGCCGGAGGTCACATTTTACAACATTTTGAATCAGACTTGGTCGCATTGGATGAGTTTATATTATTTTTTGACACTTCCATGTCTCAGATAGTTTCCTCCTGCTGGAACGAAACTCAAACAGACTACACTCCTGTTGAATTAATTGACAAAACAGCTAAAACATGCCTCATTGACAGTTGAGTGTCGTTTACCAACCACATTTACATGTCAATATTTACTTACGGGTGTCAGTTATGCTGATAAATTACACTGTTTACTCTAAGCCTTTAGCCTAAAGACAGTTTGGTAGGGCTCCAATTTCAAAAGCCCTGGTTGGCTTTGTTTATGTAGATGCTTTTATGGACCCATCCAGAAACCTCAAGTCAGGTGCAATCAGTATCTTTTTCAGCATAAAACAAAAGTGTTGGGTTGCGTAACCAGGACATAAACTTACAAGAGAATATGGGGAAAGTTGAGTGACAGAGCTTTGTTTTCTTTCTGTACTTGGTGCTTTAGTTTTAAATCATTCAACAGGTGTCAATTCTTTGACACGCAACTCAAAGTTAAGTGTAAATTTGAGAGACATAAAAAGACAAAAAGAATACAAAGGGCATGGCCTCTGTGTCCTAAATTATATGTTTCGAGTGTGTCCTGCTGTTGTAGTTTAAATAGTTTAGAAGGATTGAGGCAGGGCTTTGAAAAATGTGTGTTTTTCATACCATGTTCGGTACAGAGAGAGTTTATTAGAAAGCGTCTTATCACCAATTGAAAATAGAGTCTGGCCTTAGCCCATATACAACAGCAACAATCTTACTAATTGTGGTCAAAGTTCATATTCAGGTTCAATTGGAGTCTGACTCAGTGAAATATAGATGTGGGTTTGGCACACAGCTCTCACATGCTGGCATGTATAACTTCTAGCCTTGCAGTATGATTTATATTCCATGTATCATGTTACTAGCTAACAGCAGCTGTATTGGTGTGAAGGATCTCACTTCATGGATAACCTCTCAGCAGTCGACTCTCTTTGTGTGCTAAGCCTCTTTCACACTCCTAAGTTTATTGAGAAACTAACTTGTCTGGGAGCTTTTATGTGAGTGAAACAGGGTCAGTATGCAATGACCTGCTGTTGAGGTGATGGTGAAAAAATGACTGTTCCCTTAAGAGTCATTTGATAATTTGACATCTAGATCAGATTAGACATAACTAGCCAGTAGCCAGGGGCCCCTTCCCAGTAAAAATCTGTGTTTCCTTGATAGTTGTAGATTTGACATAAACATGTTTATCTCATAGAGTTTGGGCTACATTCCTGGAATATAGCCAGTTGCAAATAAAATGTGTTCTTCATTTTGACAGTGCCAACAGTAGAAAGGCAATAACATTAATCCAAAATCCAAAAGTTTTCTCCCCTGGAATAAGATATACATTTTGTGTCTTTATCACAGAACACATGAGAACACAAGACAAAACAATTAATGAAGTCCATGAATGGAGTTGAACATGTGGATTTTCAAAAGGTTTTTGAATATATCCAAGGATGTGGCATTGCACTAGTATTACTGCCAGGAGAGTTCCAGAGGGTTGGGGCTGCCAAAACGAAAGCTCTGCCGCCAAAAGTCTGCCTGTGTGGGAGATGGAGAGCAAACCAGTGTCAGAGGTTCTGGGACGGAGTGTAGGGGTGAGGAGATCAGAAAGGTACTTGGGGGGGAAAGGCTGTGCTGAGATTTGTAGTTGAGGGTGTTCTTGTATGTGATGTGGGACTTGACCGGGAGCCAGTGAAGATGGATGAGGGTGGGACTGATGTGCTGCCAGGGCTTTGTGCGGGTGAGAACCCTGGCAGCTGAGTTCTGCACATACTGGAGCCTGTACAGGGTTTCGCTAGGTACCCCAGACAGGACGCCATTGCCATAATCCAGACGAAAAAGTGATGAAGATTGTATGACAGATTCTGCAACAGGGTCTGTGAGTGATGGCCAGAGTCTGGAGATGTGTTTGAGTTGGTAGAATGCAAATTTGGTGATGAATTTGATGTGTGACTGGAATGATAGGGTGGAGTCCAGAATGACACCCAGGTTATGGACTTCCGGGGATGGGCAGATGGAGCAGCCATCGACATTGAGGAGAAGATCTCCAGCCTTCCGGAGCAGCGCCTTAGTGGCTATAACCAAGAGCTCTGTTTTATTACTGTTCAGTTTGAGAATGTTCAATGACATCCATTTATGGTCTAGAGATACAAATGGACATATCTTCAAAGCCTGGAAAAAAGACAAACTTCCAAACGCATTCTTACATTTATCTGGTGCTTCTGGTCCTCCCCTCTTAGAATGATTTCTTCCCTGGTTGGAACTTTTGCGTACAAGGCGGGTTTAATACAAGGAGAATTATTAAGACATTTTATTAAACCATAAGAATAATCTGAAACACTCTGCTAAATCCAATATTGCATCAGTATTAAAAAGACTGGACTAAACTTGGAGCATTTGCTCTTTTGAAAAATGGTTTTGCCGTAGTTCTGAAATGATTCTGTAAAAGCTAAATTGCTCGCTTATTTCCATAAAGGGGTTCGGCTGAGCGTTGCTATGCCAAAGGTTCATTGCTTTAACAGGTTGTGAGACTTTCCAATTTGTCAAAAGACATTTTGGTGTTTAAATAAGTACTTTAAATGGATTTAATTGAGTGTTTTATGATCTTTAGAGTAGTCAATTTGCCTTCCTTTCATTGAATTGACCTTAATATAACTTTGATAGGGCTGGACTACAGCTCCGCGTGTAGAGCTTTGTAAGTTGTTTGACCTCTATAGAGGCAAACCCATTTGGAGTATGCAAAGCTTTTGCAGCACGACTTCAGGATTTAATGAATAGCCTCTGGCTGTGCCTGGTGTTATTCACGTCTATGTTTTTGCCTGTCTCAACATCAAAGCTCTTGCAGTGTGTGTATTTGTGTATTCACCTGCTTCATGTGTTTTCAAACGGGGAGTGGTGTGAGAGTAGCGGTGGTAAGCACTGAGATGAGAGGCTTTCTCTGTTCCTGTTTTCCATGTGGTATTTCATGTAGCATGCTGGGAGGGTTAACATATTGATTGTTCGTTGCATGAAAATAGGACATAGAAACAACCATGCGCTCCCTTCCTCAATCTAAGGCGACAGCTTTATTGTCCTTGGCTACTCAACTAAACTTTTGTCTGTGTACAAGTAAAAGGGACCCCAACAGAGGAGGGGGTCTGTACGCCCCTGAAATAATGGGACCTGTTGGTGTGTTCAACCCTCTGAGCTTACTTTTATCTTTAACACAAATCTGACACAATTAGGCCAAAGTGAGATTTCCTCTCGATTTGTCTAAAGAATTCTTAATCCTTCCTTCACCCTTTTTTTTTTTTCCTCTCACTCCCTTGTTTTACAAGTCTTCGAAAGTTTCCTGTAGAGTAGAAGGTTACAAAACTCCCGAGGCAAAGACATCTTCAGCGGCAGTTTTCTTGAGCACTCATGCTAAAACAGTACCGTGCAGGATTTAGCCTGTGCTGTACCTCAGGGTTATAGGTCTCAGCACAGAGGAATGCGGCTCAGATCATTAAAGTTCTCAGTCCTGAGGGAAACCAGTGGGCATCCAACTCCCTGCATCACATGATTTGTCAGCGTCTCTCTCCGGAGAGTGCTGGTTGTCATTGGTAACAGCTCACAATGAAAGGGTCTCCCCTAATGCCATTTATTTGGGCAGCCAATGGTCTTGTCCGACGCTCAGACAGCCCCCCTACCCAAGGATGTTTTCGTTCTCCGGGTTGTTTTGAGAGATTGTTGAAACGCCAGATTCAAAACACGTGTTAACTATCTCAAATATGTGTGCAGCAAATGCATCACCAGACGACAGCAACCATAAAGGGAAAACAGTGAACTCATAAATTAAGTTTGTTTTATTTATATTTACCATAGTGTTTATGATTTTATAGAATACCTCCCACACATATGTATGTGATTCAATGATGTTTGGATTTGATGAGATGCATTCTTTATGTCCCAACAGGAGATAGTGTTGGTAGAGGGCAGCCGTGTGTTTGAGTCATGGAAAACCCCTCCCCCTCCCGTCTACATGGAGTATTTCTTCTTCAACGTGACCAATGTGGACCAGTTCCTTAAAGGGTCCAAGCCAGAGGTCACTCAGGTCGGACCCTACACGTACAGGTAGGATGCAAGAGCACGTTAATGAAAAGTGCACATTCTGCCACAAAAACTGGAACTACATCGTGAAGTGTTGTGAAATTTTTTTCATAGTATGTGTCAAAGCTGCTTACTGAACTACTAGTAAAATGTGGACTTATTTCACTGCAAACTCTTCACAAATAAACTGCACTTCTGAAATGTCCCAAAATGTTCAAGTTAGCTGAAACTGCAAAAAAAAAAAAACAGCCATATGTGGCCCATGAAAACGATATCATCAGGATAGCCTGATTGATAGTTGATTGATTTATGGCTTTTTATCACTCTCTAACCAAACCAATCACAGCTCATTCTCACAACAAGGCGGCCCATTTAACCATGACTTCATCCTCACTTATCCCTGCTACACCAATGCTTCTCACACTGCGCTGCTGCTGGCAAAGCTTTGTCTCCACCACCCCAGCCTACTTCCTTCTTGCCTAAAGTACCCCAGTACAGGGGGTTTAGCATAGCGCTCCCTGGAAAGCTGTTGCATGCTGCTCAGCTAACCCAGAAAGCATCTTTATAGCAGAGCCAGGTGAAACTGTATTTCCATTTAGCAATAAATGGTTAAATGTAAATTAACTTTGAGCGTGAGGTATAATGGTAACGCAATGAGTCAAATTGGCATCCTGACCCTCCACTCCCCCTGCTGTGAGGGCCACGTAAGGGCAACTCAAGAAAAGGTCAGGGGCAGGCTGTCCTGAAATTTTCTACAAATATTCAGGAGGGCATTTGTGAAATACTGTCAGCACTGTTTGCAGCACATGTAGCAGAGCTTCCTAACATATCTTGATCCATGGTATAATATTGTTGGAAGACTCTTAAATTAAGTGATTTGTTTCAGAAAGCAGCCATTCGATCGACTGATATGGAAAAGTTATTTGTATTCCAGTTAAAATATCCTCAAAAATCTTTATTTAAATTCAGAATCTGCTTTTTTTTTAGTTTAGAATCTCACACTTATTGTAAGCATAAAAATGAGCCAAATTAGTTAATTTTTATTCCACCACCTGTGTACCCATAATAGAGTATGTTATTTCCACCTTTTTGGAGACCTGAAGAGAAACGCTGTGAAGAGTAGACTTTTGGAATCATGTCTGATGCCCCCAATAGAACCCTTAAATAAATATCAAGGTTCAATGCTGAAGCACCAAAAATGTTACAACAGCCAGAGTGCATTTAAGATCATCCACCGCCACAATCTCACCTATATCTAACTTTATCGGCTTCCTTGGCTCAAATGGAAGCTGTGTTTGAAGTAAAAAGTTGTGTCATTGGTCTGTGATACTCTTGTGTGTACAGAAAAGATTCAAGAAAACTTCATGAAAAAAAGATAATCCAATGTTTGAATGTGTTTCCCCAGGGAGTACAGGTATAAGGAAAATGTGACCATGGTGGAAAACGGCACCAGAGTGTCCGCCTACAACACCAAAAGCTTTGTGTTCCTGAGTGACAAGTCTGTGGGTGACCCAACTGTTGATAGCATCACCACTGTCAACATCCCTGCTTGGGTGAGTAATGTACTGAAGGTCTCCGCCAAGTGGAGGAGTGTAAATCCAAATGGGGGGAATTGGATTGCCCACTTTACCCATCCTGTATTCTGTCCCATTATTTCCTATTCTGCTCCACCTTTCTGTCTCCAGGCTGTGATGGAGAAGTTGAAAAATAATTTCTTTAAAGCCTCGTTTATATCCATCATGATGAACAATTTGGGGAGCGGCCTCTTCACCACGCGCACCGTGGATGAGTTGCTGTGGGGCTACGAAGACCCCTTACTGGCTCGCCTTTCTTCCTCCAGTCCTGATGTGGAGAAAGTCTTTGGCCTCATGTACAAGGCACGTACAGCTGAGCAGTCAATTAAAGATGATGAACTAATGTTGGCTATTACATAATAAAAAAAACAATAATAGATCAACAAAAATTACTCTATAAAGCACTTTCACATTTAAAAATGTAGACTCAAATGGTCATAGGCACAAAACATGTTGAGAGGGTATGTGAGCTGAGCTGCTGCTAACTTTAGCTTAGCTTGTTGATAGAAGGTACGCCTTTTTTTGGGTAAGGATTCCCTCCATTTTCTCCAATTACGTAGCTTTAGACATTAGCAAAATTATTCACCTCCTCCTCCTCCCCAAAACAGACAGAAAATGTCCTTTAAAGCAGGGAATACCACTAAATAATGAAGTTCCAAGTTAAAAGTCATTGTCTTTCTTAGTCTTTTCTCCTGACTCCGGATGTCCGTTAAAGGGGCTGCGAGGAAAAGTTGCCACAGAAGTCCATAGAATCAACATCATGTTACCATTTCCCCCCCCCAATATTTTGCTTATCCCTGGCTGATCACACGACCTTTCTCTTTAAAAGATGACCTCCACTTTCTTTACTGGCAGCTCAGAAAGGTTTTTTAGCTGGAAGTGGGGGGCACATTCCAGCATGTTTATTCATTTAGTTAATGTAGGTGATTTTATCAGGATCCCCCTATGACAGCCATTCATTTACCAGCCCTTTGATGAACCTCAGATGAATTCACTCCATTACATTTTCAATGAAACCCATCATAATGTAGTCTGTTACTCTGAAAACCATTGCAGCATTTGGTATGACAAATCATTTTTTTGTGATTTTGAAATTATGTCTAACAATTTAATATCTTGGATTTATTTAGAAAAATGGAACTAATGACGGGGAGTTTGTCTACCACACTGGGCAGCAGAACTACATGGACTATGGCCGTGTCGAAACATGGAAAGGCAAAAGGTAGCAGTATTGCAGTCTAACACAATCACCCTCTCCCTCTCTGTCATCATCCACTGTCATGAAACTTCACTGCGTAACCTTTGGGTTGAAATAGATTCTGAAATCTTCTGCTTCTGCCAATAACACGGGAGTACAGGCTTTATGTGTCTGTCTGTCTGTGTCTGTTAGCCTGTCGATCTTGGCTGATTTCCATAGTACAAAGCAAAGAGCAGGACATCCTGATACCCAGAATGCCTTAATAATGGCATCTTACTGAACATTCTTATCCCATTTTATAGCCTCAGATCCCTTCCAGTCTCTAATTACCCCTTCTCACTCCAGGGAAACCTCTCTCTTTATCCACTGTGACTTTCAGATAGAAACATGTTTGATCATCAGAACTTTTCATTGTAATTTACTGTCATTAAGATGGAGATGATTACAATGTTGACATTGAAAGAAAGACATTACCAAAAGGCATATCCAGCCAAGAATAACCAAAATGTTCTTTGGACAAGTAAAATACAATCGGAAGTTGAGCTATTTTATAATTGTGCTGCCTCAGTCTGAAAGCCTGCAGAGGCACCATAAAAGTTTGAGAAACAGTGTTTAAAAATAGAAACCCTAAGGATGGACAGGACATGTTCATGAACTTTTTGAAAATCTTGATGCAACTTTCAAAAGACGTTAAATGCTTATATATGTTGTTATATATACATATTAATATACGTTGCTGTGTATTGTTTTGCAGCAATGTGTCGTTCTGGACGTCGACTCAAAGCAACAGCATCAACGGATCAGATGGAAGTGCGTTCCATCCTCTGTTGAACAAAGACGAACGCCTTTACATCTTCACTCCAGACCTCTGCAGGTACAGTTTAGCACAACAACGCTGTCCTGCAGCCTTATGTCTCCATGTGGCATCACTTTCAAATGTATACATCAACAAACCTCAGCTATTGCATTGTCATACTTAGAAGATGACTCAAAGGTCCAATATGTAAGATATCTACTGAATGAAATCATAAAATGACCTTATTATGTCATCAGACATTAAAGAAACATGCTATGTTGAAGTGATGGCTTGTCTGTTAACAATGCAGCAGACAGTATGTCCTCTTCTAAATTTAGATTCCTATCCGAAATTGTCTGTATTTGATTGGACCAGAGAAGGTAGGCGGTTTTAAGGCACCCCCGCACGGTCATTTTAGATGCCCCCTGTTTGCCGGGCAAACAGCAAACCAACAGGTGTTGCAACGATGGAAGCTGGAAAGCCAACTGGTTCAGATAGAACTGACTCTACCCGACCTAAAAAGCATCTGAATTTTTCGTATGAACTCCACAACCAGAAACATGGTAAAACTAGGATAAATATTGGAGATGCTTTTGAAAAATTAGGATACATATTCAAGATGCTTTCGAAAAATAGAGAGAGGTTAGAATACAGAAAGGTTTAAAGACCGATGCGGAGCTGGCTAAACTGTGAAGCTTCAGTATCCGTGACATGGTAGCCTGTCTGCACAACGACTCTAGGAAGTAGTGGGAGGGGGGAGACAGCTATCTTTAAAGTTTGAATTGGGACTGCAGTACCCGTTTTGAACTGTAGGTGTCAGAATTACATATTGCTCCTTCAATGGCTGCCAACACTTGAATATAAAAAACAACAACAATGTGTATTAGTATACAGTATATGTAGAGCTATTGTGTTGTACAATACAAAAAAAAAACCTCAGTACATTTTCTAAATTATAACCCAAAATGAAATGTTAGATACGAGGATGGATCGCTCTAGCAGGACGGACAGATTTTCAATATATGCTTTGAAGGAATAAAAAAAAAAAAAACGTTGTGAAGTTGACTAACAGACGATCAGTATGACGAAACCAAAGACAGTTTGAAGACATAAACTGTATACCAAAAGAGAGGATGCAAGACAACGTTAATCAACCTCAGGTGTTGCCAAACAATCCTAAGCCGCATGACATCCTCTTCACAGTGAAGGCCTTAAACAGGACAAGCTTCTTTTAAACTGCTAGCATGACTATAAACGCTTACTGAGAGTTTAACATTCAATTGAGATGAGTGGAATTTATTTGATTTGATAGGCACAATACAATTTATCATTGTTCCAATTCAGAGCAGGAAACTGATGATGTGTCAAACAGAAAGTTTATTGAATTTGCTAATTTTTAAACTCTTGATCCCATTTGGGCTGATAGATGTACAGTGTGATTAAATAGAGATGTGCTTAATAAGTCGATTTAGAGATAAACATTGTCACCCTCACTTGGTGAACCAGGATATTTAGACAGTTAAAATGTTAATGAATAATGTCATGACTGTAGTCCCAAAATAAATGTTGAATCTAAGCTGTAGGCAGCCACAAGTCTCCAGCTCTCTGCGCACTACTGCCTAAATGTAAACCAGCACAGTGGACGACTAGCTTCCCTTGTAGGAGACGATGTAGCCACATGTGCAGTTCACATTCAGCATGTGCATGTAAACCTGCAGGGTGGACCCAACACTGGGAGTGCTAGCTCTGTTACCGTTCGGGCACGGTCACACTGGTCATCCGTACCGTGCCCAAGCACGCTTCAACGCTAAAGTCCAGTTCGTTTTGACCAGTGTGACCGCTCTGTATCGTGCTCAGGCACGGTACACATCCTTTGGCTTCGGCACGGTACACTTCATGCACAAGCATGCGGGTACACAACGCTGACAGCCTTCATTAAGGAGAAATCCAGAGTTTCATGGCTGTATCTGACTAAAATGACACAATATAAGCCACAAAGTAGCTGTCATGTTCTCTGTGTTGTTCTCCGATGTACGGACTCACAGACTCTATTTTACTCTATTTTATTTTTTAATTTATTTATTGCTGTGTCTGATTAAAATGGCTTAAAATAAGCTGTAAAGTCAGAAAAGTAGCTGTCATGTTCGGTGTTTTTCTCTGATGTGCAGACACGGACTCGACTGTGCGTCTCTTTCTCTCTCTCTCTCTCTCTCTCTCTCTCTCTCTCTCTCTCTCTCTCTCTCTCTCTCGCGCCCTTATCCACACTCAAACCAGTTTGACATTATTTACCCGCAGACGCTGAGATCCTGTGTTCAGCAATGTTAATTGGGCTCAATTCTGATTGTTTTCTTTGTTTTGTAATGTAGTCTATGTTAGACTAGTCAACTAGTCTGAATTTGAATTTCCATTTAATCGACAGAAAGGTTTGTTTTTAGGAACATGCCTATAATTAAATATAGTTTTATGCAAGGCACTATTTACCTGATTCTCTAACATCACAGAAATTTAAGATTTGCATCCTCCCCTTTGTCCCACTATTACCCTGTGCCATATTAATCTCGTGATGGTGCGGTTATTAAAGGTTACAAATTGAACATCTATTTCTGGTCTGTGACTTGGCCTCATATCAACACACAGCAGGACGCAGGCTTTCATATCTGGTATGGAAATGTGCTCACAAGCCTCGGATCCCACAGATTGTTATCATAACATCCTGATCACTTCCAAACAGCACCACAGGTGACGTTTGTTTTCTTACCAAGCATTAGCGGCCTTTTTGTGTGGGATTTCTTCTTCTTTTTTTTTTTTAAAGCCTAACATGCCAGAAACCAGGAAACACTTTATGGAGAGGCTTACTTAAAGAGGAATGTTGGTCTGGAGTGTAGTGGGGATGAAACCAGGGTGAGTGAGGAAGGGTTGGGAATGTTGTTGGAGTAAGAAGAACATTTAGTGATTGTGAGAAGCTTAAATTCACAGAGGGACATAAAATAAATCAAGGTTTCTCTTCTTGAATAACAGTAAAAATGACGCTTTCCATGCAGAATCGGCCTCCATACTTGTTCTTTGAAAACCCTTGTTAGGAGATTCAAGCCCTTGAGAATCCTCTGGAGGGTTTTGCAATCGGGGGGTATTTTTAAAAAAGCTTGAGTAAACTTCGCACAAAATCACTTACTGATGAATCCTTCTTTGGTATTTTACTAAGCCTTAATGCTGACTTCAATGATAAATCTGTCTCTTGGCATTTGTCTGAAGCTTCTTCTTCTTCTTTTTTTTAATAACCTTGACCTATGAAAAGCTGCAGCGGACATCTTCCCCTTTTTGTTGAGGGTGGAAAGAATCTGTTGGAGTGTCATGTTTGTACCTTTGACTCTGATTGGCCGTGTGTCAAAAAAAGTCCCTCGCCCAAACGTTTACACTCTCACCTACTTATCCATTGCCGAGTAACTGTCTGAGTTATTGTGAGTAAAGGGAACGCTCCCTCCCTGTTTCCTGTGCTTTTACCCTAATTTAAAGAGGAAATGTTCCATAAAGTCTTACGTGTTAACCTTTCACACAGATAGATCAGATCAGATTTTTTTTTTTTTTACTTAAGCCGCTGTTGGAGAAGCTTAGTACTACTTTGTTTTCAGATAAAGGACATCTGGGACTGATCTGCTAGATAAAAGCAGGGCCAGGATTCCCATCTGTGACCTGAGAAGACCCTTCGGTCAGGTCACCGACAGCTGATCCTCAAAAACTTCAGGATTTTGACAGATTGTGAGCAGGTGTCATAATTTGAATACCAACTTGAATTCTCCCACACGTTGATCTTTCAAGGAAGCTGCAATCCTTCATTTAAAAGCATTAGAGTACATGTACACACTGTAGATACATGGATTAACAACCAATCATTTGAAAAAATACTGACAAAACAAAAGAGGCAAACGGGATCTTATTTCAACATTTTGTCCTGGCAGCTGCAAATGGTTTCAACATCTGTGCAACTGCTACCAAAAAAGTCCTCTGAAAACTAAAGCAGGCAAACACAAGAAGGTATCCAAGGCACTCTGTTCTGATACAAAAGTTAAAAAGCCTGTATGAAGTCATGGCTACAGGTAAAGTTAATAATGTGTGGCGGACCGACATCAGGGTGCACAGCTCATGGAATTATTATATAGCAACAAACATCCTCCAAAACATATTCACAGTAGTGTACAACTAAAGTACAGAATATGTGAAATTATCTTTTGTAATGAGAGGAAAAAAGAAAAAAATATATATATGGGTGTGTTTGAAATGAAAAGAAAAAACAAGTACTCAATGAAAGAAAGGAAGCAGATACTAAACAGGAGGTAAACAGGTAAACACATCTATACATACACACATACATACTGTATATGTAAATATACAGGCACACTTACATCATACATACAAAGGTTTTTAAACCTGTTACACCTGTTTCGCCTCATTTCACCAGCTCTTCCAGATGTTGGCCCTGAAACAATGAGAGGATTAAGATCCAAAAGAAACAAATCTCATCTTATTTGAATTTGATTCAAACTGTAACTGTGTCTCATTCCCAGCAGGACAAGGCCGAGACATTCCCAGTCCTGTCCCAGTGTAGAAACACACAAGGCTTTCTACTTGGCCTCTCTCACGAAGGTCAAGGGAAAGGTCTCTACAGTATTGTTGCACGGTTGGTGGGCTGCGTAGCTAAAGGACCGCATCCTCCCGGCCAGTTGGCAGACATTGTAAGGGCTCCTTTGTTCTCATGGAGAATCGTTGGGATTCCCTGAACAAAACAGAACTGCAGATACATAGGACCAAAATGAAGCTCTCACAAGAGCTCAATTCTCTCGAAGGCTGTAAAAACACAACAAGGAAGAAAACACAATGACGGATTTATGATTTTCCACTCCAAGTACAAAAGGAAGGTCAATACAAAATGACAGCTTTTTTCCCCCACTAGTTAAGAATGAAAGAAGGAAACCCAACAGGATTTTAGCAAAATGATGAAGTCAGCATTAATCCCTCAGTTTCTCTTATATAGTCACTCCACTGTAATGAATCTTTTCCTTTTGTGTACATTTCATCGTTTCATTAGGTAGATGATAAGAGCCAATAGGAGCTGCAGCCTAGTTACGTTGCATTCAGGTTCAGCTGTGCAACTCTGAGCTTACATAAGCAGATAAGAAACACAATAAAAAATAATCGTCACAGTTATTTAAAGGAGGCTGGTTGTTTTTTTATCACTCATATTGGTTGTTTTTTTTTATCACTCATATTGCTCCATCAGCCCCTGTGTCGTTTTGGCTTTAACATTTTGTATTAACTCTATGCTTTGAACTTCAGGAAGGAATTAATAACATTGAGTTTCCTGCAGGATGCTAATACTGCACACTGTTTGTCAAACAAAATGTGATTCAGCTATAAACTGCTGAGCAATCATACAAAGTCGTAAAGACAGAGGGAAGCAGATAAAAAAAATAAAAATAAAAACTAATGTCCTGTTATATTAATTGTGTTTTACTCTCCAGGTCCATCTACATGGAGTTTGAAAAAGAGGTAGAGGTGAAAGGAATCCCGGCCTATCGCTTCACCCCACCTCGCTCCGTCTTGGCCAGCAAAGAGGAGAACCCAGCCAACGAGGGTTTCTGCATCAGCCCACAGGAGTGCCTGGGAACGGGCCTTCTCAAAGTCAGTCCATGTCGGAAAGGTAAATGGCAGCTTTTGCCGGTGCGGACTTTTCCTCACCCGCTCTTTGCTCTATCACACGCCTATTACTAAATCCTCAGAGGTGCCTGCCTTGAGTTCAACACCCTTAATTCTCTTCTCTTTTGTTTTCTTTAATTAGCTGCACCTCCCACACATTATAGTCTCTGTGCTTTCACCCTGACACAGGCCTTTATAGATAGCACCTGCCTTTATTCCCATCCAATTTTATTTCCGTTGTGCTCTTTTCTTCTTTTCTTCTTTTATTATTTGGGCTTGCAGTAATTCTTCCATCAGTTAAGCCTTCCTTTTATTTCCCTCTTACTATAACCAGCACGAATACCTTAAATGCCTCATGTGACATGGCTCTCCATGCCTCTCCACACCTCAGGCGCCATCTGAACATGACTGACCCAGTATCTGAAGGGGCAGTAAGTCCTGTCACCTGACTCTGGCTTTGAACATGACATTTATTACCTCAGTTCCTGTGTCTGTTTACTTCTATTTGTTATAAAAAAGCATATATATATATATAGCATTCTAGATTATATGACATTACCTGTGATATATCATGTATTAAAAATTTTATTTTCATTTAATTTCCTCAAAAACAAAAGCTTGTGTCAGAGAGGTAATCACACACAAGGAACAAGTGGATTAAAGCACATTGTTTTTTTGAGCATATTCAGTAAAAACAAGTGCACACTGCTTCTCCTGTTAGTGAGGAACCCTGCTGGCACTGAACAAGAGGTGGGGTCTACCCTGAACACGTCACAACAATATAAATACATTGACAAAGACGAAAACAGATGAATTGTTATTTTCTGTGAAGCAGCCCCTTAAAAAATTCAATGGATTCAGATGAATTATCTTTTTCATTTTCATTATCTTTGAAAATAACAAACATCCGTTGCGAGGTGGCGACTCCCCCTGCTGGGATTAACTGGTACCTGCTATGTACGTGTATGATTAGTCCAACCTATGTAAGATTGTGAACATTGCCTGATATAATCCCTGAAACTGAGTGTGACATTTCAATAAGGAGTGTTGTCCTCGTCGTTTTCTTGTATTGGGCAATAACACACAACAAGAGAAGTGAAGCCAGCAAAAAGTCAGCAAGGCTGTGATTTTCCACCAGAGTAATGTTTTTATTTTATTACACTGGTACACTGTATAAGCCAAATCAAGTCTGGGAAACGAAATCTGTCTCCAGAAGGAGAAAAAATCTCTGCTCTCTACTATGAATAGAAACTTCAGGTCTCCTTCCATTTAAATGTAAATAACCCTAACCCTAACCCAATGTTCTTGGAATTTAAGTAAATGTATATATATGTTTTAAGGCAAAAAAATAAAGTATAAATTAGGTGCAGCCAACGACGCACACTTTATTCTACTCGGTAGGAGGATTAAAAACAGTTGAGAATAGTTGATGAAGTTTGTTTATGAAACATGTTTGGGCTCAGGTGTTCAGAGAAAGAACTCAACTAGAAAAGTGCACTCAAACGTTTCCCCTTAATAGTGTGCGTGTGTGTTTGTACTACAGTGACCTTGTGGGTTGTCACGGGAACAGCCTCTCAGGTGACTGTGGGTGTCCAGTGTTTTTGTCAAACGTCTGTTGCCAAACACAAGAGCAGGAAAGCTGTCACCTCTGCCCCACTTCATCAGCGCCTTGCACTGTGCCAGAGTCTCACTCTCTGATCAACGCAGTCTTTCATATCACAGGTAGAACAGGACTGAGATGTCGGCCTGGAGACCCTACTGTTCCTTATCGACCTAGGCCATGGTAGGAACTCAGTGTCTCCTTCAAAACAATATGTGGAAGGAACTCAGCTCGAGTAACAACAGTCTTTATCTGCATCACAGATACATCCCTTAATTTCTTTTACACGGAAAGGTTGTGGTCAATTTATGCCACTGTTGTTTGTTTTCTTTGAAAGACTGACTCTTGAGTAATGGGCTGCGTGCACTGCGACGGATCCGATCTTATCTCATCTCATCACGTCACTTGATGTTCTTTACAAACGCACTCTCCTTTAATACAGCGTGGTTTCATTGAACATCAAAAGAGCAGGAAGTTGGACATTTGATGTCCCTGTTGTTTTGCGGTGCAGCTACTCTGAACACCTGCAAAGCTTCTGTTTCAGGAAGAGTTAGAGGTCATGTTGCATCGTTGTTTTGTTTACTCTCTGGCAGACTGTGTGCGGAAACTTAGATTTGTAAAAAGAAGAGCATATCATAGTACAGTGGAAGAGAGACAGGAAACACGAGGTGGAGACAGTGAGGTTAGGAGTTAAAACTGTGGTAGACACTGTACATCCGGGACTGAAGCCTCCGCTATACCAGATGTTACAAAAAAAAAAAAAAAAATCTCAAACAACAACAATGAATCAAGTAGATGTATAGCTTCAATGCCAGTATTAATGGTTAAAGGGTATGTAAGGTGTGTGTTAGCATATGCAACTAAGAATGATGATAGACCGATCAGTCCAATATTACCATCAACAGCTACAGAAACAATTAAATGATGAGGACACTGATGAAGTTAATTATTACAGTAGAAGCTGAGCAGATTGATAGATGGATGGATGGATGGATTGATAGATTGACTTTCTTCTTTTTAGAAACTTATAAAGAGAACTGAATAGAGCTATATTTTGTCCTGTGTAGATATGATAGTACTCGCTATTTAATGTGTAAAAAAAAAGAGGAAATGAATGAGGAATACCATTGAGCCATGTGACAGCCTGAGTGCCTCCTCATTCATCGTGAGTCGTTATCAAAGATGATGCATGTAATTCGTTATTAATAGCATTTGTGTCACCCAACAGAAGAGTGAAGAGAAGTGAGAGAAAGCATTTTGTTGTGAGTCATCCTGTCACGGCAGAGCATACACATCACGCTTTCATTAACTTTATGATGTCCCTTGCTTCCCTACTTTTCCTTCCCTCTCCCGCTGTCCTCTCAAAGGAGCCCCGGTGGTCGCCTCCTTCCCTCATTTCCACCTGGCAGACCCTAAATATGTGTCAGCCATCGAAGGAATGTCCCCTCAAGGAGAGCATCACCAAACCTACCTTGACCTCAACCCGGTAAGGTTTACGATTATTATCTATAATCTGTTACTCAAAGACAACTGTTCATAGCCATATCCCTAAGAATGACTACTACTCCACCTAGTGGTGCGTTAGCAGTAGTGCAGAAGTTAATCACCTGCTTTGGTGGCATTAACTTTCTAAGTCGTGCTCTTAAAACAGTGTCATAGATTGAATATTTTTCTGATGATAAAAAGCTTAACTTGACATATTTCATTTTTCATGCAGACCACTGGAGTGATTGTACGTGCAAACAAGAGAGCCCAGGTGAACATCCTGATGAACAAAATCTCTGGATTCGCGTGAGTATCCTTGTCCAAACTCAACTGTTATTATTCTCTCTCTATATATATACAGTATATATATATATGTGTGTGTGTGCGTGTGTGTGTGTGTGTGTGTGTGTGTGTCTGTACATGATAAATCAACACTTTTGTCTTTGGCTTCACAACAGGAAAACTAGAGCTTTGAAAGAAATCATCTTTCCTGTCATGTTCCTCAATGAGGTAAGACACTTCCCTCTAGGCAGGCTGAATCTCACACACGTGTCCTTTTGCAGAAATTGGTGCAAATTCTTTCCATGACTTAATTAGTACCATGAAAAAGCACACTGTTTTATGCATGTACCATTACTTTTCAACAACATGAATCAGGATTCCACAGGATTCTTTTTTTCTTTTTTTCTTTTTTGTTAAGGCTACACAAATCACTCGTAATATACAAAGTTTCCTCTCCTAACTGTGTCTTCTGGGTTTTGTTTTGTTACACAGAGTGTGGTAATCGATGACGCGTCTGCAGCCAGAGTGCACAAGCTGCTCCTCATCGTCACCCTCGTGTCTAACTTCCCGCTCATCATCGTGGGAATGGGTGCCATCATGCTCGCCGTCTTCATCCTCCTTCTGTACCGGTCCCGACAACAGAAGGTGTGACACCAGCTCTTAACTGTCATTTTTACTCTTAACAGCTTTCCATGCCTCTGCTTTGTCCCATAATGCATTTGTGTTTGTGTGTTTGCACAATTCATCCAGTTACTTAACCGCACGCTAACGCACACTGTGCTTGTATTTATCATTGTTTGTCTCTGCGCAGAATGAAGCTAAGCGCGTTGTGTTTACCAAGGCTCTCTATGCTGTAAGTCTTTATGGTTATTTTGCTGCTTTTCAGCCTTCGCTTTATCCGAGCTTCTGTCTTATTGTGCATCCATATGCAGCTTAAATCCCATTTTTAATATGCAGATACATGAGTTTAACCCTGCTGAACTTATTCTGGTGCTATACAGAAAACAAACTGCCTGATTTAACAGATTAACACTTTAAAGTAACACTATTGAATATAAAGAACTTGTAAAAATGTCATTAGCAATGCTTGTATTAGGGAGTTTATAACGCTGATTTATCCTTTCAGACCGCTACTGAAGACGATACTTCCTACTCTCCGGTCAGCGACAAGGAAAAAGACGACTCGCAAAACGGAACCTACATCGGTTTGACCGCTAAAGCAGACCCCCAAGCTTGAGGGGAGGGTGGTGGGGGGGGGGGGGGTAGTGTTGGAAGGAGAGACAACAATCAGAATTACACACAGGGATTGTTTTCAGGAGAGGGAAATCCCCCACAGAAAACTGTCAATATTGCCTTTTTTAAATTGTAAATCTATGAGGGTTGGGGGGTAGAGGGTAGAGGAGAGGAACATGTTTTTAGTCTGAAACATACTGAACTGTATGTTATTTAATTTTAGCCATTGAGGGCTTTCCTTTCTGTCCAGGTATAGCAGAAACGGAAGAAGTTCAGGCTTTGCCTCTCTGATGAGCCCACGTTGTAGAGGTCTGAAACAAACAAAACTCACAATTTCATTTGAAGCCTGGGATTTAAAAAAAAGGTTTTACTGTGTTTTTATCAATATAAGATTTTTATATCAGATTTTATATAACAACTACCATATAATAGGACACAGAAGATGTTTTTTTAGATATTATAAAACGCCAATATAATGTAATGAACACACATCTCAGGGGGGCTCAGCTTAGCTACTATCAAGAATGATTAGAGGAGAGAGGAGGAAAACAAAGGAAGTACTCTCTGTGTGAGGACATTTATTCCCAATTTAGTATTACTTTTATTTCATTTGCATTTCATCCTAAACGTAATGTTACAGAACATTTCTTTAGGCTCAGTGATACTTTGCCTTTCATACACTGTGTTTAGAGTGATACCTGTGCACATCTTTATCACTGTGCCTGAAAAGCCTTCAGGTATGTTTCTTTTTTGTAAATAAACAGCGTTCTTCTCAGTGTGTGACGGGGAGAATCAGAGAGGAAATGTTGTACATTTTGGATACTTTGATGTTTGTAAAATAAGAAGTTCTTCCCATTTTTCTTTCTCTTGTGTGTGTAAATGTTCATGTAGAAATGTTAGAATGAGGAACGTTTATGTTAGAGCTTCAAAATAGTGCCATTATTATCGCCACTTAGGTCAGCCGCCTGAAGTCCTGAATCTGACAGGAATTGATGGTCGAAAACAATGATTGGCACACTACTGGATTTAAGTGTTACAGTATTTTTTTTCCCTGTGTAACTGCGTGTACTATCTAACATGGTCATATGAACTCATGTTATTATCATTTCAAATTGTGCTTTTTTGATGTTGATGAAGGCCTAACTGTCCTTTTTGGGGGGTTGTTTTGGCACCCTAACATATGACAGACCTTTATAACATTGTTTATAAAATTTCTCTTTAAGATTTCATTTCAAGTGTCCATCATTGCAACTAAAAACTCATGAGGGGTCAATATGAAGAAATGCTGTAGTTGTGCCTTACAAAGAATCGATGTTACTGGATTTGTTTTGCCTTCACGATTTTTACATATTTTGTAAAAAAAAGAAAGAAAAAAAGGACACCATGTCGTAGCACCAAATCTACTCTCATGTAGATATCTCTTCTTGCCAGATACCAAATGAACTGAGCCTGAAACTGGTTTTAATAGTTTTTGTATTGCTTGAGTTTTAGACTGTGTTCCAACTTTTTTTCACTCAAGCTGGGTGAAAAAAAAAAAAAGTAGACTTCAGGTGCCGTTTAATGTGATCTAGATAATACTGCAGAATGACTTCATTGAACTGTGATGAGCCCAGCTTTTGTTCCTGCTCTTATTGTTAGTTGGATGAATGAGTTGCTTTAAACTCCTCGCACTTGTGTGATCATTAACGAATAAAGAAATAGTGAAGAAGCTGTCACATTTCTCCTTAGCAGATAGTTGTCTTTTGATTTGACTATTTGTGTTTGATGTATACGTTAATTCAACTGTGTATAATTCAATCAAATGAATATGGAAAAATGAATTGAGAGCGCACAATATAGAGTCATATTTTCTTGAGCGGATGAATGTGTCTGTCTTTAAAGTATTACACAATATGAGTGTTGGGTTTCAGCAGGATCAATCGTTTATGTTGCATTGATAAAAACCAAAACACACAGCATCATATGGACTATACACTTTGTGCTGTACTCTGATTACTGATTGTACTTTCGGAAATTAAACATACATCTATAACCACATTTGATTGTCAACTTATTTTGAAAAATGGACTGTCAATACTGTTTTCACTGTGTGCACAAATTAAAAGCACTTAAAAGTGAATGTGGCCTTTGATTGGTTTATCTGTTTTTATTTTGGGTCATCTCTTATTTCGGTGACGTACTGTAGAAACAGGGGCGCTGCTTGTCAACAGGCAAGGTGGGCAACTTGCTTAGGGCCCCCCCTTAGGGCCAGTAGGGGGGGCCCCCCTGCTCTGACAAATTTTCAACCACAGCAGTGGCTCAAAATGTGCAAAGTTTGCAATGACAGTAGGAAACCTCCCTAAAGTGGCCCCATATGAAAGTCCTCACTCTTGCCTGCATTACTCCTGTGTTGACGTTTGTCAGTAAAAGTCCAGCGGAGGAAGATCAAGGGTTTTATTGATCTTTATATGTATATTTTGAACACAAGGTTCACATTTAACTATTTTTTGTTGGTGTCAGATTCTTTATAACATAACAGGCTGGTTGGAGGGCCCCCCTGTGAATCTTTGCCAAGGGCCCCAACAGACACTAAAATGACCACTGTGTAGAAATTACATATTATCCATACAGTTGCATTTCAAGTTAGAAAGAGATGATTGCTTCCAGGCTGTAGAAGCCAGAAATGAAATGAAAATTTTAAAGTCATCATCATCACTGTCCAAAAAAATAGCAGCAAAGATACAGAAAAAACATTCGCTGGCAGTATTTCTTCACTTTAAACAAGTGAGGCCACATTTAAAAGTGTGATACGAATACTTCTAAGCTGATCATAATCAAAATTGTTTAAAGATTGTCTGCAGTTCTCTTAAGAATTATTAGCTGATTACTTCAGATCTTCAGAGATGTGATACCTGTATTCGGACACATTAAACTAACCTTTCATCTGTGAGCCATTGAAGGGATACATTTTGCGGCACAGATTTCTTCAGAGTTTGAGTGAGGACATTTGATCAGTTGAATCTGCGTTGGAGGTATACAGCTAAAGTTAACCTCTGAAGATGAAGATTTAATAGTGAGCACCATAATCACCATCCTCATTCATACAAATCATTACCTCATTAAATCCCATTTTTAATATGCAGATACATGAGTTTAACCCTGCTGAACTTATTCTGGTGCTATACAGAAAACAAACTGCCTGATTTAACAGATTAACACTTTAAAGTAACACTATTGAATATAAAAACTTGTAAAAATGTCATTAGCAATGCTTGTATTAGGGAGTTTATAACGCTGATTTATCCTTTCAGACCGCTACTGAGACGAAACTTCCTACTCTCCGGTCAGCGACGAGGAAAAAGACGACTCGCAAAACGGAACCTAACATCGGTTTGACCGCTAAAGAATGCGAATACATCCAGAAAACAGAAGAAGTGTCAAAAGTTGATAGTTGGTGCTTCTATGAAAGAATTGAAAACATTTGATTTTTAAATGGAGTTCAAACTGAGGGTATGAAAAAGAGATTTCAAGTCCTGAAAACGTTTTTTTATAAGTGTGTAATATTAGATTTTTTATTTTTATTTTTATTTTTTTAGAATTTTAACATTCTGCTCTTCATTTTAACACCAAATACCTTTTTTTATTTTTTATTTATTTATTTATTTTATTTTTTAAATATTTTCCCCTAAGTCCCAATGCTGACCAGTAGAGGCGCTGTAGCCTCACACACACACACACTCTCACATAGAAGAAGAACATCGAGAAGTCATGGCGGCTGACAGTTTGTAATGAGCCAACGAAAACAGAGTAGATTCTTTCAAGTTAGACTAACAACGTTTAAAACATATCAGGGAGCAAATACACTGCTAACAAAATGCAGATAACGTTGAAAACCTTACAGCAGCAGACGTTCAAAATCGACATCGATGAACAGGAGACGGTGAGAGCTGAAGGGGGGAATGGGAGCCGGATATGTCCTGGATGCGACTACTTTGGGTTTTTTTTTTTTTTTTAAATGAATTTAAAATCTACACGGCCGATAGATCTCTCTGTGGAGGAATGAGAAAACATTTAAAATAGATAATTTAACTGGTTTGAATGTTTTTTTTTTGTTTGTTTGACGGGGACTGTAGTCCAAATTAGCGTTATTTATTTATAAACCGCTCCGGAAGTAGTTTTGGAGTAGCAGCAATTAGCCGCAGCCCTCTGCAGGAGCTGGATGGGGGGGTCTGCAGGAAGATCCAGAAGTGAATATACACAGTTTATTTTCTGTTAAATCAATTTACACAACACGGGTCGTTAATAACTTGTTAAAGAAATCATATTTTACCAAAGTAACCTTAAATGACTCATTTATACAAGTCAGTCCCAAGTGTTGAAATAAGATGAATATTTGGTTAATTAACATTTACTCTTGATAAATCTGTGCATTGGGACTCTAGTTTTTTTTACACCACCTTGCAGTATTTAAGCATTTCTGCATGTGTAGTTGTTTTTTTTACTGGGGTTTATGATGGGGTGAAAACTGGGTCATGTAAAAATGACTTTAAAGTCTTTTTTTTTGTTGTCCAGCCAAATGAGTTGCAGGCAGAATATTGGAAATGTGGCAATTCTTTGTCTTTTTTTAATCAGGTTATTAATGTTCATAAAACATCTTTAGCTCAAACATGACCTTTGACCCTTCATTTGGAAGTTAAGGTACTCTGCCTTTTGCGTTGCCTGTACAATAATGATAACGGGGTCAATGCCAAGGCAGAAGGCGTTCACTTCATTTGATTCTGTGTTTCACTTGGTTGCATGGGTTAAAATAACACAACCAAACACTGTTTCTTTGCTACACTTTAGTCAAGCTGCCGTGACAGAAGTGTTTGATGACAGATATTAAAACAAAGGCGTAACACCTTAACTCCACTGCAGTGAAACAGTAACTTCACTTTGATCCGCAGCAAAACAAAGACAGAAGACCTCACTCACTTTGAGTATTCCTGAAGGCTGCAGTACACAGACAAAGACCCTTATAAGTGAAGTTACAGCAAAAAAAAAAAA